CAATGATTATCAAATATATTATAAAATTAATTGAACGTAGTTATCAAATATATTATAAAATATGTCAACTTTAAATAGAGCTATAAGAAATATTTGAACACAATAATAAATTCATTATAAAAAATAATAATTCTAAGTAATATTAATTTTTATTATACTATAAATCTATAAATTATGTACTATAAAGTTTAAAAAATATTTTTTATCAAAAAAGTCAATTTTTCACAAGAATAAAAAACTTATAAACTGAAATATAATGATAAAAACTACTCGATAATAGAACAATGATGAACATTAAAAAAATTAAATGCGAAGACATATTGCCAAATAAATGAATTTGATTGCTTCAAATATCTTTTACATTTGATATTTTTATAATAATACAACTGTAATTACAACGATTAGTAAAAGACATATAAATATAAGATATAGTAATATTATAAGTATGAATAATGACAAATAAAATTCAGTTAACTAAAAACAATTGAATGTAGTAATCAAATATATATTATAAAATAAATCAACTTTGAACAGAGTTATAGAAAATATTTGATCACAATAATAAATTGATTAGAAAAAATAATAATGGTAACTAACATTAATTATGTACTGTATAGTTTAGTTAAAAGGTGCATTTCATTAAAGTAGAGTTTAAAAAATATTTTTATCAAAAAAGATAGTGTATGCAACTAATATACATGAAAGTGTAAGGATTCACTCAGTATTTTTTTCTGACATCTTTTGACGATTGTGCAAGATTTAAACAATGTGAGTTCCAAATAATTTAGATAATTATATGTTGCTCTTTTTGAAAATATGGACTTTCAATTAACATTAAGAGGTCATAATGAGTATAAAAATATTTTTAAAGAAAATATATTAAAAATAAGTAGAAGTATCTAGCCATACTTTAAGAGTATTTATATGTATATAATTTGGAATTAGTACAATATAAAAAAGTAATTAAAACTAAAAATTTATCCTAAAACGACATTGTTTTATGA